CCGCGCCCGGCCTGGAATCATTTTCTTTATGATGAGGAGAAAACCTTGAGAGGTGACAGAACTCACTCTAGCTTCCATCCTGAATTTCAGAGCCAGGATAACTACATAACCAGACCCCTCCTGATGTGTTTCTCTCCAGTGCACAGTGACTACTGGTAACTATAGCCCCCTTCTCGGCAAATTTTCCTTTGCCTAATACTCCAGGTCTGAGGGTCCCATCTATCTCACTGTGGTCATGCATGCAGAGGCCTTACCCGGCGTGTTGAGCAGGCGGGACCTCCTGCAGTGGTAGGCCACCTCCTGCTCACAGTGCTCAGACCCGTCGATCACGGCCTCCAGCTGTTCCATGCTGCCCCCGTAGTCCAAGGCCATGGCATAGGGCTTCTCAGCGTTGGCACCCCGCACTCGGGTCAGCTCTGTATTGTTGTGCTGCACCGACGTCCAGATCTTGTCCTCTGCCCAGACAACACAACACAAAGCAAGAGACGTTAGAAGGAATGTCAAAAATGGAGCAAGTGAGCAGTGTGACGGGCCACTCAGCATGCAATGTTAATCAACACCCTGGTACTGTATGGGGAGTATGACAGAGAAATTGTGTTCCCTGTGGAGCTCCACCAGAGCTAGTATGGGGGTCAGTAATCTTAAGAGCTCCATTTGTGGAGCCCTTTTCCCATAGGCTCTACACTAAGCATTTAATCCCACAATCTCAGTTAAAATTGACAATGCCTAAATTGGAGGGGAGGCAATTATGTCAAAATTGCCTCATTTTGCTATGTCAAAAATGAGGGAAATGTGAATGAGAATTAGGCTGTTCACCCAAATCCCACAGTTAATAAGTGACTAAGCAGGGACTTGAGCCAAGGATGTCTGACTCCAAAGCTACTGACACACTTCCTCACAAGAGAAACACCAGCGTGTTTTCAGAGAACCATTTTCTCAGAGAACAAGGTTGAGATTATGTGATCCATGCTGCATGCAATGAAGTTAATTGTAGGGTTTTGTTTTGTTTAGTATTTATTGCCCATATTACCTCTCTTTGCCAAAAATATTTGGGAAGATTTGCAATGAAAGAACACAGAGATGAGGACCTTTGAATCATGGCGGAAGGACATATTTTGCCTAATAGGGGAAAGAAGGTTAAGGCAGTGAGAGAGGGGAGATATTTGGGTATTAGAGCTTGGGACATCTGTATCTGCCAACAAGAAGCTTGGATAAATCACTTCCTTTTATTAAAAAATATATATATTTTTAAAGAGACAGGGTCTCTCTCTGTTGACCGGGCTAGAGTGCAGTAGTGTGATCATAACTCATTGTAGCTTCAAACTTCTAGGCTCAAGTAATTCTCCCACCTCAGCCTCCCAAGTAGCTGGGACCACAGGCATGAGCCAACATTCCCAGCTCCCTTCTCTTTTCTGAAGCTTAGTTTTATATTCAGTTAAGAAAACAACAACAATTGCAACAAAAACAAGAGAGCAATACCCTGGTAGCACTGGTAATACGGAAAAGCAACCTACAAATACAAAGTTGCAAGGCTCTATCTGGGATGTATCAGACAGTCTGTAGTAATAACCTAGGCTAAAACATTTACTGCAATTGGACATGCAATTTAATTCTGAACATCCTCTCAAATATAGCAAAAGAGGAAATAGGAAGACTTGAAAAGCTTTTGTCATCTGAGAATCTTGCCTGCATAATTACATCATTACTCTTCATAAATTCTCAGAGCTGAAAAGGAACCTAGCATAGAAATCATGTGGTTTCTTCCCTCCCCATCCTCTTAGTCTTACAAATGGAGAAACTAAGGTCCAGAAAGTAAAGAAATGACCTGAGGCACATCTATGAGACAGTAATGATGAGCACATACACTGAAAATCACCACTATTAATTAGCAAAGCTATGAAGCAGAAGCACAGTAGTTGGCATGACTGAGCTGAAAAGAGAAAAGAATAGGCCACTTGGGTGCCCTTTGTTAGTCCTTTCTCCCTCTCTAGCTCGGTACACAACTTGGGACATGTCGTTTCGTATTTCCAAACCTCAGTTTCAACATATTAGAAGCAGAAGAAAAAGAGAGTATGATTTTAATTATCTCTAAAGGATTTTCCAATTCTATAAAAGAAAATACTTCTTGCAGCATGATATGGTTTGGGTATTTGTCCCTGACCAAATCTCAAGTTGAATTGTAATCCCCAGTGTTGAGATGGGACCTGGAGGGAGGTGTTTGGGCCACGGGAGCGGATCCCTCATGACTTGGTGCCGTCTTTGCGATGGTGAGTCAGTTCTCGTGACATCTGGTTGTTTAAAGTGCATGGCACCTTCCATCCACTCTCTCTCTCACTCCTGCTCTTGCCATCTGAACTGCCTGCTCCCACTTCACCTTCCACCATAACTGTAAGCTCCCTGAGACCTCCTCAGAAGCTGATGATAGATGCTGTCACCATGCTTCCTGTATAGCCTGCAAAACCGTGAGTCAATTAATTAAATCCCTTTTCTTTCTAAATTACCCAGTTTCAGGTATTCCCATTTAGCAATGCAAGAATGGCCTAATATACAGCATAAAATTAAACTGTGGTCCAACATTCCGACTCGTCTGAAGACTATATCCTAAAACCAGTCCACTGATAACCCACATCTCCAGTGTTTCACTGAGGCAAAGTTATATTTTATTTTTTAGAGACAGGGGCTTGCTATGTTGCCCAGGCTGGAGGACAGTGGCATGATCGTGGCTCACTGCAGCTTTGGCCATCTGGGCTCAAGAGATCCTCCTGCCTCAGACTCCCAAGTAGCTGGAACCACAGGTATGTGCCATCACACTTAGATAATTTTTTAAAAGTTTTTTAGAGATGGGCTCTCATTTTATTGTCCAGGCTGGTCTTGAACTCCTGGCCTCAAAAAACCTGCCAAAGTGCTGGGATTATAGACACGAGCCACTGCATCCAACCTAAGATTATATTTTATATAAAGTCTAAACAAATTGATGTTATTTGCCTCTGACTAAAAACAAAAATAAGACATAATTCATGTTGGTAAAGATAATAATATTACAAAAACAATTAACCCAAAACTTAAAAAATGTCATTCATACCAGTATAGACAAATGCTGATAAAATAACCAAAAATCTTATCCATTAATAATGAAATGTTGTAGAGGGAGAAATAAAGATGGACACTTTTGAAATGTCCATGATGCTTATACAAAGAAGACAAGAAAAACCCTGTCTAATCTATAATACTAAATGTTGTGTTACTGCTTTATACTAGCACATTTAACATACATTATCTCCAGTACGATAATCCACCACACACAGTGTGTGTGTGTGTGTGTGTGTGTGATCATAAGATATATATAACTGACATCACAAACCTTAGCTTCAAAGACTGTATGAGGGACAGGAGAAATGATTGCTTGAAACCTACAGCCCCTGAGTTGGCTTTCATTTTGAATCTGCCGTGTGTCCTCTGATTACTGTTCTCTTGGGAGACAGCAGGATAAAGACTAACACATGGAAGTAAATGGATATTACTTTTCCCATCTATGTCGTGTGTATCTATCTCTTAGACTTACCCTCGGTCTCAACGCATCCAATCTGATTCCAAAATTGGTCTCCACATTTACTAATTCATATAGATTTATATTTCCTTCTAAGTATACATAGATTTTCATACCCATATATTAACTCATCTGATTGTTCATACATTCATTGATTGATTTCCTTATTCATTTACTCATTGTATTACTTTACCAATATCATATTGTTTTTGGCAAGAAAGAAAATAAAGATGCCATAATATTTTTCCTTGCTTCCTATCTTTTCTTCCTCAGCTGCATTGGCGGTTGTGTAGATTTAGCCCTGCATCCTGACTAAATATTGAAAGGTCAGGTGTTAATGCCACTGAAAGAAAGTCAGCTTTGGTGAGAGATACTCCTGATGCCTGCTCGAGGCTAGGGAAGGGTGGTTTGAGCTGGAGATGTTTATGTGGAAGTCATCTTTGATTTTTGAACAAGCAAAATTCATTTTGACGGTCCTTTAGATGGGTGAGGAGGTAGAGATTCACTTTTAGGTGGACTCACACACGACTTCAGTGAAAATTGGACCCACAAAGCTAAATGTTCAAGATGGCCAAGTTAGTTGGACAGTGGAGGTTAGTGAACATAGTACGAGTTCTGGAGTCAGCAGATCTGGTTTTGTGTGCCAGCACAACACTTACTATGGGAGCAACCTTGATGAAATTATTACTTCTTCAAAGCCCAGGTTTCTCATTGGTAATATTTGAAAAGCAGCAATGGCACCAATAATACCATGAAATAGGCTAGCTTTAGAAACAATCCTATTCAGATTGGAATCTATGTTCTGCTCCATGTCAGCAGTCAAGATTTTGGCAAGTTTCATAACATTTCTGAGCTTTCCTCATTGGAAAATGGTCATATTTACACCAATCTTTGCATCCACAAAAGTATTATAATGACTTGGTACACATAGACTGTCTGGCACTCAAATGAGTAAAGACTCTAAACATTAGAAGTTTTCCACAACATTAGAGTGAGGGCTTGGACTTCATTCCTTAGAGGACTGGGATGGGGAGCATACTCTGCAAATGAGGTTAACAAGTGTGATGGACTGTGATTTCTTGTGATATAGCTGCTCCTATATATACTAAATTATTACCACCTTGTTAAGTTGTTTTTCCATGATAGGACAGCCCCATGTATCTCTCTATTTGTGTCCTTTGCATTTCCTGAAATTCCTTCAAGATAATTTGTTCTTCAGTACTCATGGACCCAGAAACCTGGAAAAACATTGCCCTCTGATACTACCTTTTGCTACCCAGTTCATTTTTCTCTTTCGTTACTTCCACTGCACACCACTACTCAATCCCACAATTAGAAACATAGCCTCTTCTCTTTCACTGCTCAAAGGCATACATGTATTGACTAACACAGATCAATTCTTTTGCTTAGGAGACGACTGCATCTGGAGATTTTTGAACAGGCAGGAACCTGTTCATCATTAGCTGGGAACAGAAATAGGGCCACTTCACTAAGCATTCTAGTTCGCTGAAAGTAATAGTTATCTATGTGAAATATTGGCTTTTTAAAACTTGCATTCAGCACAGTGGGTTGGCATGAGTGTGAACGATCTCACGATCCAGATCCAGAGCAGCTATCATGCCTTCTCCATGTAGAAGGGAACTATTGGAGTTATGGGCCATCAAATACTGTGCCCCCTGGCTTCCAAAGACAGCGTGTGTATTGATATGTAAACCAGTAAAGCATTTCCCAAGTTGCATTGCGATTTTGAGCTTTCAAGCTCATTTTTTCATAAAGCTATGAGATCTTTTAGGATGTGAAATGCATAATTCATTCCTGTGTTTAAATATGTGCCCAGTGATTGCTCTTCTATCCACCAGAGTACACACACTGAAGGAAAATATGTTAACTTCTCCAAAAGCCTACCAT